GTACATGCACAGGGGCATCAATGGAGGAAGAGCAGAGGGTAGGCACAGCGGGGACTGGCAGGTGGTCTCAGCCTCCTGGCTGTGAGGAGGGCTCCTCACCAGACTCCCACCACCATCCAGCCCACAAAGCCTCAGCTTGTATTCAAGGTGCAAGGAGGAGACAAGTCAGGGGGAGTTTGAGGAGGGAATCACCCAGATGCAGGGAAGCTAGACCCTTCAGGGTACCGACCTCAGAGTTTAAGGAAAGAGAAGGGAACCTCCCCGGGGATGGTGTCCAGCACCTCCTCAGAGAAAGAAGGTGCCACAGAATACGTCAGAACTGTACCCGCTTTCCTGAGCCCTGTCCCGGGCTGGGGCCGCAGAGAGGAACAAGGATCCCCTGCCCTTGGGAAGCAGCTAGGTCAGTGGAGTCATAATTAAACCTATCGTAGTACAATTCAGCACATACAGGAGGAAAAGTTTGTCCACGGTGCTGAGGTAGCCACTAAAAGAAGGGATTAGATAGACACTTACAGGTAAGAGGAAGGGAGGTCAGGAGAACTTGCCCGAGGAAATGGCACCTAACTTGGGCTTTCAAGGATGAACGTGTTAGGCCAGCCAGTGCAGGTGGAAGGGAACCACTTATGCAAAGACTGAGAGTCATCAGGAAGGATGACAATCCTGGGAGCTTCAGGTACGAGGCAGGGAGAAGGCTGAGGTAGAAGGCAGGAGTGAGACTGTGAAAAGATGGAAAACAGGCAAATTCTAGAAAGCTAGAACTTACTTGTTATATTCATTCAATTCACATTTATTGAGCTCCTATATGCGAACCACTTTTCTTCTTGTCTTCCCAGCCATCCTTGTTTGTGTCTGTTACTAACTAATGGGCACATGTCAGACACCAGGGCACCATGTCTGGACCCATTAGAGAGGAAACTGAAGCTCAGACGAGTCCAAAGGGTTATCTGAGAGCCTCTGGTTAGTTTGCAGCAGAACCAAGACTTGAAACGAGATCTCTAAATCTCCAGTCCATCCCAGTTCTCACACCGTGTGCAAGCAAGCCCACTGGAGCAGAGACTGTTTCAAACGTATAGAGAACCAAGGTGGGCCATGAAATGATACTCAGCACAAAGATTCCAGAATTTCTCGTGATGTTCAGAAAAACCAATGGAATCCATGACTTGTTGATCAGGCTTCCATTGCACAGGCATAAGCAGAATTCTCAGTTTGAAAAAAAAGTGCTGGTAAGCACCCAGTCATCCTTCCTGTGGAAACCCACCCTTGAGGGGTTGGCCTGGAACTTGCTCAATAGTGTCCCAGTTTGCAAACAATCCACCTGCAGGTATTGATCCCTCTCTGGGTTCTCTCACGGATGTTACTGTCATTGAGTGAATTGTTTCAGCCCCCACCCCCTCCCCTGTTCTTTTTCAAAAGTCACCTTCTGATGCCATTGATTCCATCAGCATTCTTTGCAGGCTGCAGACTTATTGTTTTGCAGAGACAGCAAATATTGGGAGACCAGAAATCGTGTGCTCCTGGCTTTCCTGGAAAAGTGACTAGGTGGGGTTTGCAGAGACAGAAGTGAGGGGCAGAAGAGACTTCTGTCTGGGCAGAGACCATGAGAAGGCCTCCCCCCCACCAATCACCCTGCGATTGGCCCCTAGGTTTGCAGCTACTGTGATGGTATCTTCCTGCCTCTTCCCTCCCATACCACTCCAGGACACCATCTTTATATCTGGGAGCCCGAGCTGGAAGTCAGGAGGCAGCCCCTCTGCCCTTCTGCTTGGAATAGGACTCAGACATGCGTGCTGGGGCCCTAGTTGTGTAGTTAGTGGGTAATACCTAGGCTTGACGTCAGACTGACAAAATTCACATCTCAACTATCCCCTTTACTACTTATGGGACCTTGAGGAGGTTACCCGCCTTTTCTAAGGCTTTGTTTTTGCAACAAGTGCAGGATTGAACCATCTAATATGGTAGCCATTAACTACAAGTGACTCCTGAACACCTGAGATGTGCAGCAAATGGAACATGCATTCTAGATTTCCAGATTTCCTTGGACAACAGACACTGGAGGTGTGCACAGCTTTGTCAAAACCTGGCCAGGAAGCCCTCCTCCCACCCCTCCATAGTCAAGGGACAGCAGAGTGTGAAAGCCAGGCAGATGCTGCAGATGGCAGCTGCTGCTGGTGTAGTCGGGCCCTTTGGCAGTAACTGGGGTTTGGGGGTAGGTTGCAATGGAGTGTGCATTGTGCTGACAGGAGCTTCTACTCCTGGCTCTGTCACTAACTGCATTCACATCCCTGGGTGACTTCAACAGCTATTCCTTCCACTCCTTCCACACCTAAATGTACTCGGCAGGAAACTAGACTTGCCTCCCAGGGCTCCAGCCAAGATAAAATAAGCTAACACCTCTGAGGTGTTTAGCATTGTCCTGGAACCTGGCAAACACAAGATAAATATTAGCAATTGCTCCCCCAGGCCCAGCTCTCCCACCCTACTCCCCTAGGGCTGAGCAGCAGCAAGTTCTCTCTGGATATCCTGATTATTCTTCTGTCTCCTCCAATACCAGGCACCTTCTTTTTCACATACACTTGGAAAATACTGCTCCTTTGCATGTATTTTGGAGGTGAAGTTTTTTCAGGAACTGAGGTTGATGTGTCAGTATTTGATGAGGTAAATTTGAGGCAAAAGGCCAGGTGGCAGTGACTATTCACTTTTGATACTGACTTGAAGTGAAAAATGGATGAAGGTCAACTAAAATTATAGGTGCTCACACTTGTACATTGCTGGAAATGTAAATTAGGATAACTACTTTAGAAAGCAGTATGGAGATTCCTCAAAAGGCTAGCATGGAACTACCAGGTGACCCAGCCATCCCAGTACTTGGTATTTATCCCGAAGATCTAAAATCAGCATACTATAGTGATACAGCCACATCAATGTTTATAGCAACGCAATTCACAATAGCCAAGTTTTGGAACTAGACTAGGGGCCCATCATCAGATGAACAGATAAAGAAAATGTGGTATTTATATACAACAGAGTTTTACTCAGACATAAAGAAGAATGAAATTATGTCATTTGTGGGTAAAGAATGGAAGTAGAGAATGTTAGCTAAGTGAAACAAGCCAGACTCAGGAGGTCAGAGGTAGGATGGTTTCTTTCATATGAAGAAGAGAGAGAGAGAGAGAGAGAGAGAGAGAGAGAGAGAGAGAGAGAGAGAGAGAGAGAGAGAGACTCTATGTTAAGGAATTTTTTAAAAAAGGGGGTTGATTTCGTAAAAACAGAAGACCAATAGCGTGGAGGAAGGAGACCAAGAGGGAGGGATGAGGAGGGGCATGGGGAAGTACTGGGGAATGAAATCTACCAAGATATGCTCTGCCTATGTATGATTACACCATGTGAATCTCTCCTGTGTGTGTGATTATCAGGCACTAACTAAAACAACAGTAATAGGAGGAGATCAGTAGAGTCGAACCAGTGGATGGGGGAGGGAGGAGAGAAAGAAAGGGGGAGCTACGGGGAGGAGTGATCGAATTACATTATGTGCACAAACAAATATGGCCCACGGAATCTCATTACTACGTATATATAACACCAGTTAAAATATGCCAATTAAAACAAATGAAAAAGAGAAAAAAAAGAGGATCTTGAGAAGAGAAGACCCTGATTAAAAAAAAAAAAATCTCAGGTGCTCAGAGCAGGAGGTGGGATTAGAGTCCATTTGGGCCTTTGGTTCTCAATATTTTTTCTATGTGAAGTCACACCCAGAAGAAGCCCCTGCAGAACTCAGTGGGCTGAAAAAGCCTTTTGATACATGTTGATGTTCCCTCCATCCTGGGCAGACCTGGAGGCCTTTTGCCCACACGCTTCAGGGATACCATATCCATCTCACTAAGAGCTGGTGTTGGGTACAGAATCTGGAGGGTTTCATCTCTCCAGCTCTGGAACTCTTTTAAGATTGGATTTTCAGTTTTCTTGGTTTCTATTTGTGCATTTCATTTATTAAGCAAATATTTATTTATTCAGGGGTTGATAAGTACATGTTTATATAGAATTTGCTAGTTCAGACATATATGAACATACATATTATATGTGTATCCCAGTATAACAAAGCAATCAAGGGCATGAACCATGGCTCTAGATATGGGTCGTGTCATTTTGGGGAAATTTCTTAACTTCTCTGTGCCTCAGTTTCTCCTAGTCTGAAGATGAGGGTGCCTAAGAGTACCTACCTCAATCTTGTAGTGGGTCAGTAAGTGGAGACTGTGGGTGTGTGCACACGAGTGTGCGTGTGTGTGTGTGTGTGTGTGTCTGTGCATGCCAGGAGGTGGGCTCCAAGACCCCCTGGGAGCCAGTACTGAGGTGGATTAGAAGTCTCAGGCAGCAGAGCCATGCGGAAGAGGAGCAGGGACTCTCCTGTGCCCAAGTTGGCCACAGGCCTACAGAAGAGGCCAGAGCAGCATTCTTTGGCCTTTAGCTCCCTTTTTGTGTTCCTGCAGCGAATTCTTCCTAAGGTGGAAAGTGAGGGACCTGGAGGGAGATGTTGCTGCAGGGAGAAGGCAGGCAGCCTCGACACCTGGTCTAGCTCCCTCCTACCAGCTGTAGCTCTGCTGCCCCTGAAGATGCTCATTCTAGAGTCACACTGGACCTTGACTTTTTCCTACTAGTTTAGGAATGCATTCATGCATGTATTTAATTTTTATTTTTTTGGTTCTGAAGATTGAACCCAGTGCTTTACCATTGAGCTACATCCCTAGCCCTTTTTATTTTTGATTTTGAGACCAGTCTTGCTAAGTCACCCAGGTGGCCTTGAACTTGTAATCCTCCTGCCTCAGCCTCCTGAGTTACTGGGATTATAGATGTGTGCCACTGTACCTGCCTTGATATCTTCTTTTTAAATAACAGCTTTATTGAAATACAGCCAGTGTATTTTAATAAAAGTATTTCAGTCAATGCTTTGTAGCATATTCACAAAACTATGTGACTACCACTGCAATCAATTCTAGAACTTTAAAAAAAATACAGAATGCTTTACAAATTTGTGTGTCCTCCTTGCAAGGGGTCATGCTAATCTTCTGTGTAGAGTTCCAATTTTAGTATGTGCTATTGAAGCAAGTATTCTAGAACATTTTTATATCCCCAAGAAGAGACCCTGTACCTCTAGCAGTCACTCCCCTCAGCTCCTGGAAACTTCTAACCTCTCTCTCTCTCTTTTTTTTTCCTCTATGGATTTGCCTATTCATATAAATGGAATTTTACAACATGCGGCCTTTTGCAAATGGCTTCTTTCACTGAGCATAATGTCTCCAAGTCTTATCCACATATTGTACTTCGTTTGTTTTGACTGGGTAATAATATTCCATTGTGTAGATACCCCACGTCTTGTTTATCCACAGTGAATTATGAACAATTCTGCTTTGAGCATTTGTGTTTTCATGTGTGCATGTGCTTCCATTTCCCTTAGATTTTCCCGGGGGTAGAATTACAGGGATGGATGGAAACCACACTCAGCTTTGAGGAACTGCACACTGGTTTCCATGCTGGCTGGCCCCATTTTACACACCCACCAGCCGTGGAAAGGGACTCCAATTTCTCCCCATTCTCATTAGCACTTACTAGTATCTATCTGTCTGATGTGTAGCTGCCTTTTGATGTGTCCTGCAGGGGGTGGGGCTGTCAGTGGTGTCGTGTGTGTGTGTGTGTGTGTGTGTGTGTTTTAATATTTTTGTAGATGGAGAGAATGCCTTTATTTGCTTTTTTTTTTTTTTTTTATGTGGTGCTAAGGATCGAACCCAGTACCTCATACATGCTAGGCAAGTGCTCTGTCACTGAGCTACAGCCTCAGCCCCTTGTTGTGGTTTTGATTTGCATTTCCCGGAGGTCAATGGAAAACGTGGCTTCGCTTTTTACTTTTTGTGCTCTCAGGTGATAAGGCATCAGGTCTGGAAGGAGCTTCTTTATCAATGGTCCAACACAATCACTTTATAAGTGGAAAAACCAAGGTTCAGAGCAGACAAGTGACTTGCTTACCATCATCATACATCCTGCCACCAGTCAGGGGCCAGCCTGGGGTGGAACTCAGGGTTTCTGAGTCCTAGACCAAGACTTCTTTTTCCTTCATCTCTACCAGAGGACAGGTGCCGTGCCCCTCTAGGGCCATCCCCCACCTTCTGCACCCAGCCCTGTGCCCAGGGAGGCTGACCCCTGTGCACTGTGTCAACAGTTCCTCTGACCTCAGTTTCTCATTGGGCTCTGCCAGGGGGAGGACCCAGCGGGAGAGTGAAGGCAGGGGGAGCCGAGGCCAGGCCTCTGCCTGCTGCCCCACTTAGCTGCTTCCCTGTACCCAAAGCCAGAGCTTCCTCATGGGTCAGCTCCTTTCTCTGGGTCCAGGGAATCATTTTCTCCTTTTGCGCCTCCCGGACAAGAGGTGGTAAACGCTGCTTCTCTCGTGCACTGCGATGGTTTCTTGTTGGTTTTCCCAAGCCCTTACCCTCCACTTGGTAAATAGTTCTTGACTAAGTTCTCCTCCAGTTATCCAATTTGTGCATCTGTTTTCTGATCTCTGCCTCACTACCCACCGGCCCACCTGCCCATGGCCCATTCAGAGACCGAGTGCTGAGTTCCTCAGGGATGCTCAGCAGAATCAGCAGACACTGAGAGCCAAGTGCTCAGAGGTGGCCAGTGCTGGGCCCCACACCAGCCAGGAGTGAGGGAAGTAAAGGGCCTGTCCTCCAGAAGCTGGCGATGCAGTTCAGAGGTGGAATAAAATGCTCATGTGGTTCTTCACATGTGCCCTTCTTCCTATAGTCCTGTGTGGTGATGGCAAAGGGAGGTGGGGGGGGGGGGCTGGCCAATCACCCAGCAAGACTTGGAAAGGACTTAGGAGATACATTCTGGGCTCTGCTTCTAGGTTTTGCAGTAGTTCAAGTTTTAGCTTTCTGTTTATCTTGGGGCGGGGGAAGAGATGAGAGAAGGCAAATCAATCAACATCTCTCTCTAAACAAGGCTTACTGACTCCTGGCACGTCCTGAGAGGGTGGCCCTCTTTGGGTTCCTGACCCAGCCTCTTCTGTCCCTCTTGTCCACTAAGCAATGGTCAGGTGAAGGAAGGTGATGGGATTCCAGGCGTAGGCCCTGCCCTGGCTTCTCTAACAGCTCCCCATATGACCTGTGAGAGCTGCCAGGGTTTCTCTTGGAAGGATGAGTGACGTTGATTCAACTCAACAGGCCCTGATGGAGCCCCACGAACGGCTATTCACGTGCCAGACAGTGTTACAAAGATCAGACCCAAGCTTGCTCTCTGCAGCCTCTTAGCCAAGAGAATTGAGTCGGGGCAAGGGGGAGGCAGGAGATGTGCTCAAGGTGGTGCAGCCCAGCAGCAGAGTTAGCTGCGAGGTAGGGATGAGATTTGTTTAATAAATGTACACTGAGTGCCTGCCGGGTGCCTGGTATTGTCTGGACACAGTGGAAGAGATGCAGAAGGAGGGCCCCTCGCTCGGAACTTTCCCTTGGAGGGTGAGGAGGGGCAGGCTAGGAGGAAGTGTTTGAGGACACAATGCTTCACAGGCTCAACAACTGAGCCTCTATGGGCTGGCATGGGGCAGGAACCTGTCTTCTTTCTTTCTTTCTTTTCTCCTCCTCTTCTCCTCCTCTTCTTCTTCTTCTTCTTCTTCTTCTTCTTCTTCTTCTTCTTCTTCTTCTTCCTCCTCCTCCTCCTCCTCCTCCTCCTCCTCCTCCTCCTCCTCCTCCTCTTCTTCTTCTTCTTCCTCTCTCTCTCTCTCTCTCTCTCTCTCTCTCTCTGGCCCAGCACATAGAAGGTACCCAGTGAACTCAGTAGAAGTTAATTGATCTGACTTGTGGACAAGACTCTACAAAAAACAGAGATGTTGTGAACACTCTACATTCAAAATGTTACAGTAACTAGCAGTCAGCAAAACCACAGGGTGGAAGAACTGCTCCCTCCTCTCTCTCTTCCTGTCTATCTCTATGGTGACCATTACCAAGACTGGTCAAGGTCAAACATGGTCAACCAAGCAACAATACTCCAGGGACTCAAGAAACTGCATCTTAGGTTTATACCACTGCATAGAGATCTTCTGTATTTCGGATGATGAAGATCTACAGATTACAGCAAAGTCTTTTTGTTATTGCACAAATGTAATAACAGCATCAAGTAACATTCTTAAGAAAGACAGACCATCCCTTTGCCCTAGAACTGATTTAATTTTTGCATTTCCCTTCCAGCCTTTGTCTGTTTGCATATGCATTTCATGCTCAGTGGCAATCACAGTGAACACCTAATTCTGCATCCTGCTTACAATGCCTTTTATTTATTTTTAATAATGTACTTGTTCTTTCCTATGGATCCTGTGCTTAGAGCCAATCTTTGTGGCCACATCAGTTTTCTACTCAGCAACAGTCACAGAAAAGACAATGAGAGATGTTTTCATTACTTCCATTGGGTGTCTGTGAAATCTTTGTTTTTCAGAGATCTACAGACTAAGGAGTTCACAGAAGAACAGAACAGAATAGGCTTTTCATACAGATTATTTGTATAATTATCTAAATGGAGCATTTTATTTGTACAGGAGGAAACTCCCATGTAAATTGAGTGGCCACAGTATTGGTATTACAGTCTGAGCAAACAGTGTTTTAATTCTGAGTCTCGCTTCCTAGCTACGTGACCTTGGGCCACTTGCTTCATTTCCTGGTCCTCAGTTTCTATCTCTATGTAGCAAAAATGACATCTATCTCCTAGGAATGGGGATGGGAGGAGAGTATTAAGTGAGATAGAGACTGGGTTTTGCCCCTTGAAGCTATGGTCTCTGTGTGTGACTGTGTGTAACTCCTTGCAAGATGCTGAGGTTGGCCTTGGGCAAGCCTCTCGGATCCTCAGTTTGTACATATGCAAAATGGGCAAAATAAAGGTCCCAATGAGACTGAATGAGATAATGAATGTGCCAGTGTCCTGGTAGTTAGATCTTCCTGCTCACCTATCTTCCTGTTTTTATTTTCCCTCCTCCCTGGAATGTGGTGTAGACATTTGGGGATAAGTTCTGAAGTGTATCCTACAACTGGAGTCAGAGCAGCTATTGCTTGCCTTGAGCCAGCAGCTTTTGGGGACCAAACTTAAAGCTTGGCATCACTCCCCAGGCCCCAGCTGGGCAGAGTAGGGCTAAGGTGCTGGGCAGAGTAGGGCCAGTGACTTATCCACATCTGTGTGCCATTCTCTCTCCAGGGCTCAGTTCCCTGGGAGCATGGGCTGGGGTGCTGAGGACACCCCTGAGAACTTGCTTCCTGTATAAAAGTGCCAGGGGTGGGGGAATGATGGGAAGCTGGGGTCAGGACCCAGGATGGCCAGCCCAGGGAGCCATGCAGCAACTGCTCTGCTAGAACTCACCGGCAGGCGATGAATGACAATCCCCTGCCCACCTTCCTTCCCTTGCCTCCTTCTTCCCTTTCCTTCTCTCCTCCTTTCTGTTCTGTCTCCTCCCCTTTTCTCCTTTATTCCACAATGCTCATTGCCACCTGTGTGGTGCCAGTCCCCTGCAATGTCAGTGACCATGCTCTGCTCATGCTTGATGACTGTGCTTTTTAGTTCATAAGCTCCAAGACACATGGGGACCTTCAAAGGGATGCCCGGGGCTGGTGGGGAGATTGATACACATCCTGGGTAGCACGGAAGGACCTGAGGTTATAGCCTGGAGGAGAGAAATCTCCTTGTGGGGACCTGCAAACTACCACCAAGAATCTGAAGAGCTGTCTGTTGAAAGAGGAGCAAGTTCCCGCCCCCACTGCTATGAATTACAAAAGGAACGACAGGTAGAGAGATTTCAGCTCGGTTTCAGAAGGGCTCTTTCATGATCTGAGTTGTCCACGACAGAAGGGGCTTCCGCAGAAGGTAGTGAGTTCCTTGTCACCAAAGACACTCAGGAACAGCCTGGGCCACCTGGTGGCCAGGAGCCTGGAGAGGCTCTCAGGTCCAGTCTTCCGGAAGCACCTTTTAAACTTTGAACTCAGAACAGGAGATAAGAGGAAGTTAGACTCAGCTCCTTAAACAGGCCACAACCTAAACACTGCTAATTCTGATTCTGATCTTTATCTTCAGTACCTGGCTG